AATGGGTATTTATAGAGAGAGCCTTTCTTCATAGAATATCAGTCCAGCCAAGTTCTCTGAGACAACGTATGCATTTGAGAAGCACTCTTGATACATTTTTAAGAAAATGTGGGTATTTGGAAAGTAAGGAATAGAACTGCCAGACATGAGAATAACTTTGCTAACTCTAGGTAACAGGAAGACAACATATCACCTACTGAACAAGGGATATTTGGTGACATGACCATAACCTCTACCATAAATCTCCTAAAAGTATAAAACAAGAGAGGAGATTAAAATAGTTAAAATAAATATTCATGATTTTAAGCCTACAATTTATTCCTTTAGATGTTTTGTTTACAATTTATTTTATTTGCTTTTGATGCCTGTTCCTTTTTCGCCAGCCTATTTGCACTTTTCAAAGATGTTTAAAAAATATTCCGTATGCAGACAATAGAGGATAAGACCTCCAGAATATGCACAATTAGCAGTGGCAAAATCTCCTTTCACATTCCGCTACCAATGTGATGATAAAGAGTGGTTAAGTTTATTCAGTCTTTGGACTCTAATCATACTAATCTGTGGGATTTGTCAAAAAGTCTTTTTTCATGACATGCACAACTGTACAACAGAAAGTGGACTGAGATCACTAATGCAATTTATATAACATGACTTAAACAAAGTTGTGCTTCTAAGTTTCATGACTTTGCTTATAGTAACTATTAATATAATTGTATGGCATGGACCATATGTGAAAAGAATATTAACTTATCAAATATAAACAAGCACTGTTTCAGAGTGGAGACCTTACTTTGTTCATTGTTTTAAAATTCTTAAGGTTATTTTGAAAGAGCTATTGTATTAAGCTATCAGGGGAAATGTCAAGAGTTTCAGAAAACAAGATGCCTGTAGTTTTTCTAGAACACGGTATCAACCATTAGACAATAATAAATAATTTATAAAATCATAAGAGAGTAATGATGATGTTGAATAATTCTTTCAACAATTTTTACAGTATTTAATACTTTCCTCACAAAGCAAGTACCTGGTCAGCAAACACATGTCTAAGTTTGCATATTGGCAACCAGATTGAAAGTGGTGTCACAGGGTTGATTGTAACAGTTGCAAACCCTTGGACTGTTGTGACTTAGTTATTAGGATATAGCCCTTGCTTGAAAAGGAACAACTTTGCAATGCCAAGATGGCACTTAATATGTGCTAAACTTCTTAAACACAAGCCGCTCTCATTTTAACTTCACTTAATAAGTGTTAAGTTGAACACGTGACACCATCCTGAAGGCAATAGGATACATCACAAAAGAAAAGAAATATGTGGACATCAGGGTTTACATAATTTGCTAGTGCTCATAACACTGTCTGGCTGTTTAAGGTACAGGTTTCCCTTGCTTTATGTTGTACTTGTGTTCCTGGAATATGGTGCATAACTTGAATTTGCATAAAGGGAACTCACTTTACAGTGTAATTAATAGGGATAAGTTCCAAGACCTCCACTGTACTGACTCCCAAACCCATTTTTGCTACTTTTACAAGACAATTTTGGTACTCACCAACAACAGACTGTACACACAAGCACAGGGTGGTGATGAATGTAACCATAATGGGGATGGCAACTACAAAAACACGTGTTGCAGACAACAAGCGAGGAGCACCGATCCACACAGGAGACTATATTTTGGTGTGTGTCACTCCCACAATGCACCGCACAAAGTAGCTGACTGCAGGCTTCCACCACGCTGATTGTGTAAGAGCGCATTTACCTCCCATATAACAAATTTTTGGTATAGAAGGGGTCATCGCATAAGAGCGAATTTGTACATTCAGAACCTGCATAAAGTGAGGGAACCCTGTATTTATATTAGTATAAAATACCTAGGAAATATAAACACATATGTTTAAGGGCCATGTCATTCATTGCACTCAGGACGTATTAACTTAATTTAACATTCAAGCATTCACATGCTCAAGCAGTAAAACACAAGCAAGATACTATCATAACATAGCAAAGGCAAGTACTGTGTCTAGTTTTGGGCTCCCACTACAGAAAGGATGTGGACAACTTGGAGAGAGTCCAGTGGAAGGCAACAAAAATGGTTCAGGGGTTGGGGCACATGACTTCTGAGGAGAGGCTGAGGAAACTGGGCTTATTTAGTCTGAAGAAGAGAGAACTGAGAGGGGATTTGATAGCAGGCTTCAACTCCCTGAAGGGGGTTGCAGAGGATGGAGCTGGACTGTTCTCAGTGGTGGCAGATGGCAGAACAAGGAGCAATGGGGTCAAGTTGCAGCAAGAGAAGTTTAGGAAAGTTTAGGAAAAACCTTTTCACAAGGAGGATAGTAAAGCACCAGAATAGGCCACACAGAGAGGTCATTGGATTTCCATTCTTGGAGGTTGTTAGGACCCAGCTAAACAAATCCTTGCCTGGGATGATATAGTTGGAGTGGTTCTGTTTTAGGCAGGGTGTTGGACTAGATGGCCTCCTAAGGGCCATTCCAATCTTAATTTTCTATGATACTATGATTCAAAGGGACATTTTTGTTCATGGGAGGAGTATTTCCAGATCATATTAACTAACACCTGTTTAACTATCATTGGCCTACTCCACAGAGATAAAACAAGTTTAGGACTTGGTGCAGTGTGAAGGCTGGGACTAACAATCAGCTGATTGCCAACCCCAGACTCAGCTCTGCACAAGAGCTAGTTCAAGATTCCTGAGTGGTGCAAAAACTGGGACAATCAGCTGATTCTTAGTCCCAGGCCCAGTACTGCAACAAGGCCAGTTCAAGGCTGCAGATCCAGTGGCAGGTGTAGATTCAGCAGCAGAAGCAGCACCCTCTACCAGGCTCAGTTCCCCATGCCTCCCTCCTCCTGCCACCAGTGTCAGGCCTGACTTGCCCCACTGTGCCAGGGGCACATGCAGTGCTAGAAGGCAGTGGTAGGCACACGATGGGGAGATCATGGGTTCTGGATGTTGTGACTACATGTCCTCACAGACATGTGAGCAGCAGTGCTGGGGTCACTGTCTAGGGGTGTGGGGGCACAGTTAGCTCCAGCCCTGTCTAGAGTGGGCTGAGATTATAATAACCATTACCGTACAACCACTCAGGATATGATATAACTTTTAATATGCTATAGTAATATGAACTCAGATAAAACACTTGTTCAGTGTCCCAAGAAACAGGGTCCTAAAAAGAAAGAAAGGGAGAAACAGAATGTAAAAGAGCATATTCATAAAATCAGGCTTTAGAGAACAGATACATTACATGATATGATATGAAAAGGCAGATATATTAAATGTTTTCTCATTGTTCATTATTTTTAATTGATGATATTTAGCTTTAAGTATGCTCAAAATAAAAAGCAGTGCCCTTCAAGGATTCAAAAAAAATATTGGATCATACTATTTCCTTTCCTTTTCCTCACTTCCCATATACTATATTTGGGAAGAAAGAAATGGAAACCCTACTGCAATGTGCCAAAAATTGCCAGGGAAAAGAAAAGAAAGCCAAAGAGGCCTTTGCAACAAAGAAAGCCCATGCATGGGAAGACTGGTCAGTTCACAATAGGGACACTATGACAGCTCTGCCAAGTAGAAGCGGTCATGGGTATGTATATTATTCCTTAGCAACCCATAGGATATTATTCCTTGGCAACCCATAGGAGTGATAATTAATGCTGTCTCTCCCCATATTATGGAAACTTGTGCAGGTTCTGCTCTACACAGTCAGAATATGGGAAAAGCATAGGTTTGGCAAACCCAGAAAGACACCTAGAAGTAATGTGAGCATAGAAGTAATGTCAGTACAGTTATTGCTGTCAGCAACAGGCATAAAAAGGGAAATAGATGCCCAAACCTGAATGCACATGAAGGATCCATAAAGAGAACCACTGCACTGTTGAGTTAGAAAATGGCTAATTAATTCTCAGAGTCTCAAATAACTTTGTCCTTCTCATGAACTTTCCCCTGAGAAGGCATCTATATCCCTGTGACAAGCTCTGCCCCTCAAAATTTTACCTTTTGCTCCAGGTTTCTCACAGACCTAACTCTATGAAACCACTTTTGTTTGGAACTAGCTAGATTAAAAATACATGGAGTTTACATTTCAAAACTAATATTCACCTATGTTTCCAAGACCAGCTAACATTGCTTTAAGCACAGAGAATGTATTTTATAAAAATATAATAATATACAGCTCCAATATAGCCCTTTTTCCCATGCCAATCTCAAAATATTTTACAAATCCAATTAGTACTGTCCCCATTTTACAGAAGAAGAAACTGAAACACAGAGGTGAAGTGTCTTATTCATCCTAATCAAGCAGGGAAGTATGTGTTACTGAAAGAATCAGAATTTGCGTGGTATAGTTTTTTTCCTGTTCACACAAGAAGAAATGAAAGAACTCCCTTAAAAGTTCTCCCACAACAGACTCATGCTTCACCAGTATAAACCAGTATGTAACTTTATATATTTCAAGGATTCCTGTAAAAGTTTCTTGGAGTGACACACATACAGTAGGTAAATACAGTGTATATGACACACATTTAATGGAAAACAAGTCAAATAATAGAATAATTTGTAATAAAGAGAGCTCCACAGCTACTACTGGGATTATTTTGGGATTGATATACTGGATCATCTGAAAATTAACTAAATCCTACTTACCTTAATTGAGTTGTTCTATGAAATCATTGAGATTAGGCACTTTATCTGAAGCTGTATGACTATCAATGGACAAAACTCTCACTGACTTCAATAAGGAATTTTGGATTAGTCCTTGGGTGAATTCATTAAGAAATTATCTTAATCCTCCAGCAATATGCATTTGAAATATACTTCTGTTTTGCAACACAATAAATATTGAAGTAATCTGTACTACTATGTTTCTACTGAAATTCTAGAAAGTGTCCCAAGTGAGATTAGATGTCACTTTTTAAAGTAATTAATGTCATATTTCAGAATTCCCATTCCCCTTTCTAATATGTTAAAAAACCTCAAAATCCTTACCCCAAAATTTTGGTGGCCATTCGATGTCAGAGCCAGTACCCTGTTTATCCATAACATCCAAAACAATATTTGCAATACTAGTATGTCCACAATGGAGCACTTGGTTTCAGAACATCTGAGGTGTAGCAGCAGAAGAAATGCTTTTACACAGCCGGTCACACTGTTTTGCTTGCCTAAAAGGAAATCAGAGTATCATTTCCTGCTTGGACACTCAAATTAGCAACTGTTTGTCTTATCTTGGAGCACCACATGGTTCCTGAGACAGAGGAACTATTTCCTTCTCGTCATTTCCTTTGCTGAGTGCTTTAACTTAAAACAATACCAAATCTCCTTCTTTTCTGAAATAAGGGACTGCATCACAGTTAGAGAGATGAATGTCCACTCTTCATCCCCACAGTGATTCTCTCTAGTAATGGCTTCATGCTCAAGCATTCAAAAACAACCATTCTTGTCATAGTATGGGAATAGTAGGCAAACCAGGAATGAAGAAGCTGACTGACTCCTTTTAAGTATTCCTTCATTAAATATAACATTTTATTGTGTTGCTTTCATAGGCATATATAAACATACTGAAAACATCTATATTTTCATTAGTAGAAAATGTCTAGGAAATGTAAACACACATGCTTCTTGACAAGAACCTACAAGAAGTCCAAATAAAAAGACTCCCTGTGGGAGCACTAGTAAATGGAAGTTCTCTTATCTTCCTTTGAAGAATCTGCTACTGGTTATTGTCAAAGACAGACTACCAGTGTAACTAAAATGGCAATTCCAATCATGCCTCTATTAATGCCATACACTATTCAAAATATGACAATGATTAAATATGTTAAAAAATGATTCTTACATGCTTTGGGTTTATCTTACGGTTGTTGGGCATCTTAATACTGATCTCAATTTCACACTATGTTTCACACAGAGAAACACCTTTCTCTGCAATTAGTGACACTGAAATTATTGGGACTACTGGTGCAGTAAAATGGTACTCAGTTTAAGTGGTCAAACTAGCCCATTGTGTTTGCTAACAGATATGAAATAGAGAGAAAGTAAAAGGCAAACTGTCGAATTCATTGTTGGTGTAAGTGGGTTCACCTCCCTTCAAACAAATCAAACTTTATGCCCCTTTAAAACAAGAACTAAATTTTGTCCTCTCATTTTGTGAGATTAGCAGTAAAGTTAATGCAGTTACCCTGGATTTAGTAATGTAAGAAAAGCAGAAGTTAACTCTATGTCTCCATGGGCGCAGAGGTGACACGTAGGGGGTACACGCAGGTGCACGTGCACCCTCTGAGCGTGGCAGTGCACCCCCTACAAAAAGTCACTGCTGACACTGTAGGCGGCATCTGCAGGTGGTCCGCAATCCCTGCTGGCCACTGCTGATGCTTCCTGCAGTGGCTGTGGGTGGTCGCTGATCCTTGGTCAGCGCTTGCCAACCCCCCACCGCTGACAGTGCCGGCGGCAGCTGCGGGAGCTCCCCGGCTTGCTACAACCACACTCCCACTGCTTCTGCTGCCGCCATGCTCCTGCAGCTGCCAGGGTACGAGTCATTCATGCATGGGTGTGTCTACACAAGATGCTTAATTTTGCGTTAGTATAGTTTACTGCAAAGTAAGTATGTAAATCTACACAGGCACATGGTTACTTCACAGCAAACCTCACCAATCCCAAGTAAATTTGCTACCTGGAAATGCAAGTAGCAAATTTACTTGAGATTAATAATGGCACTGTAGCATTTGTGCAGATGCCTGACCAGGAGCAAAATTTGCTCCCAGTCAGCCATCCACCAGGGGGCAGGAGATAGCTCCCACCTCCTGCCTCCAGGAGCTGCCTGCTGCTGGGGTAGGCTCCACCACAAGAGCCCAGGTATGGAATATGTCTCCCCTGCCCTGGCAGCCCAGATTTTGATTGTGGAGAGGGGACTGAGAGGCCCTTATCCTTATGCTCATGGAGCTGGGTGAGGAACAAGCTCTCCAGCTCCTGCCCTGCATGTCCAGGAAGAAACAATATCCCCCTAATCTAGCAGCAGGGAGCTTCCAGCCTCCTACTCCCTGCTCACAATTGCAGAGTGAGGACTGGGAGCTTGTTTCCTGCCCCCATTCTGCAATCACAGAGCTGAGACTGGAAAAAAGTTCCCCAGCCCTTATCCTGATCACAGTTGTGATTGTAGAGCAGGAGCTGAGAGCTCCCTCAATGGGGATAGTTCCCCACCCAGTCTGGAGCTGGCTAGAACCTGCCCCTGACTGGGACAGTTCCCAGCCAGCCCCAGGCTGCACGGGGAAGCACATGCAGCCTGCAGGTGGCTGGGGACTGTCCTGTTTTGGGCAGTCCCCAGCCAGCTCCAGGCTGCAAATGCAGACTTCCCAGCACAGCCCAAGGCTGGCCAGGAACTATCTTGGTCAGAGGTAGGTCCCAGCCCCATGCTGTAATTGGGTGATCGAGGCACAGGGCTTGGAAAAAGCTGTAGGAGTGGGTAGGTCCCACCCCCTACCCCAATCTGCTGTTGGGGCAGCTAGCAGCGAGCTAGTTGCTCCACTGGTGAATTGGGGGAGATGTGCTGGGATCTGCCTTTCTCCTGCAGCTCTTTTCAAGTACCCTGCTGCTGGGGCAGAGGAACATTGTCCCTGTCCGAGTTGCAGACAGCCTTGCCCCCTCCTCCCCCTCCCCCCTGGCCAGAAGACAGCTGTCACCTGGCCTGGTCCTCCCTGCCAGCCCCTGGACTAGCACCCAGGGGGAACTCCCTCCAGTGGGTGCAAGGGTCCATTTCAGAGCTGCAGGGAACTGGGTGGAAATGTGCTCCCTAATCCTCTCATGTTTAGATGCCTGCCCAAAAACACTTACTCTGGCTTAGTTTACACAAGAATAAATTTAGGTTGCAGTAAATGCATGTGTAGATTCACCCCACGTATTCTTAAAAGAAGTTTATTAAAAATCAACTTATCCTTCACTGAATTTGAAAAGCTGGGTACATTTTTCACGCTTTCCAAGATTTAGTTCATTGTATGCACTTATAATGAATTCTTCTGACAGTTTTTTCAGTTCTTTCTATACAGCTCAGGAATATACAGATTCACTCGAGAGAGGTGAAACAGATTAGATTGTATGCATAATTCTTTCCATTTGGAGATTCTGATTAGGCTGGGATTTCCTTTCATTGTTTTACATTTCAGCAATCCCTAATTTGGCCTTGGTTAGTTTACAGTTCTCCGGATACATGAAGAACAACTCCAAGGAATTATTTTTCTTTAGCTAGTGATGAAAAATGTTCCCATCTCATAGTAGGCTATCTCTCTAAAAGGGTATTCATAATGTGACAAATGACATAGGAACTTCCACTGAAAAATATTGCCTGTAATGATTCACCTGTGCATGTACAAGGCCATAGGCTTGATGCAGATTTCTGCAGTTTAACCACTGTGGAATTTAATCTTTATTAAGAAGATGTAATTGTCTGCTTAGCACATCTTCCAAATGCTGTGACTAGCATATGAAAGACTGGTCTGAGTTTTCCACTTTCCATTTCCAGTCCCTGGTCAATGGATATCAAAAAGTGGTATGGCTGTTCGATGTGATATCCACATGCCAAAAGAAGATGTAATTTTCCACAGAGAAAGATACTTAATTGGTTTTCTTCATGCTTGCTAGAAAAAAAATCTTTCCTGGTTAAGAATAGCATAAGAAACATAAACAGTAAGAATTTGAAAAAATATAGAATAGAAAGAAAATACCTTTTTAAGTATTATTGTACCTTTACACTAGTGGTGGGACATCCTATGCAACATATACATAGTAAATATGGCCAGTATTTAGAAGGATTTTAAGTCCAGCATTCAGCACAAGATTCTGAAATTCTAAATATCCCCTAATGTGAAAGTCCTGTACCCAGGTATAGTAGTCCAAAGGCTAGGCTGAAGCCTTTCAGTAGTCAAGAAACTGTACTGTGAGCAACAGACAGATACTAAGAGAGATCAAGGTGCCACCAGTACCCAAGACAGGAAACAAATTAAGTGAGCTATATCCAGAAGATTAGGAGGGATTGGGACAAAATCTAAAATAGTTTTAACATGGCATTTGATAAATTTGTGAAAAGGAAAATACAATATAGTTCTCTGCAGAAGGAGAAGTGGGATGGAGAGATTGGACTCAGTGACCCAGGAAGTCCCCTTCAATCTGATGTTTCTGTAATCCCAATAGGTGAACCACTTCTTATTCTGTAGAAGGCAGAAAAATTTAAAAAAAAAATCCAATATGGAGGAAACTCCCCCTGTAGTCCAAATCTAGTAATTTAATTCCATATCAGCCCCCTAGTCCAAATCTGACCCCGGAGATGTGAGCCAGATACACCAGCCTGGCATGAAGAGTGCCTATACATGTGCAGTGAGGCTGCTTCAAAGCACTGTAATTACAGAATGTCAGAGCAGATGCAATTAACTGAGTATGCTGGAGTGTGGTAATTACCACACTCCAGCAGACTCCAGCATCACATGTATCATTGTTCCCATGCTGCAAAATGGCAGCAGGGGCACTTTAACTAAAGCTCATTTGACGAACTTTAGCAAAAGCATCCCCACCACCATTTTTCAAGCCAGGGACACTGATGCACGTGATGCTCCATGCACTTTAATTAGAGCAGCTTTAATTCCAGCAGCATCTCAGAGCTGCTCTAATTAAAGCGCCCCCGCTCCCGGAGCCCATATATAAATGCTCTAAGAGAACACTGGCTTACCCTGTTTAACATCTCCTGGTTATGGCCAGTCTATGAATCTTTAGCGAAAGGGAGGGAGAGAGAGAGAGAAAGGAAACAGAATACAGTTAGTTCTGCACTTTGGGGAAAAATCTTTCCTGACCTCTGTGGGTGAACGGCTAAAACTCGGAAGAATGAGATTTGATTATAATCATTGTCTTAATACAGAACTCCAAATGTTATGAGCTTCTTAAGGGCAATGCAGACAACCCTGTTCTTACCATGATCCAGGAAGGAAGGGGTTTCTGGATTCTGAGGCTAGAAGTGACTGCCAAGAAAAAGTTCAGCATTGTTTACTAGGAAATAACACTTCTATAACATTTTTACACCAACTGATATAATTCTATAGCAGGGACATACATTTTGCATCTGACTGTTTCCTTTTTACTGTTATCTTTCATATCTGCTGCTTTTAAAA